TTTCTCATAGTATCCATTTCACTTCAATAGGTTTCCTTTTTGGTGCTCGGTTAACTTGGGTTTCAATCTATTTGTGTAATAGAACTTAAGACCAAAAGGAAAAGAATAGGAACATGTAAAACTCGCCACCCAGCAGAGAGCAAATTAGTATAGTTTATACAGAGCAACTGAGTATTGAATTACACTCATGAACGTTCTGGTGGTGAGGCTGCAGAGGTGACCTAAGGAATATATCCTATTAATTACTGAGAAAAGAGCTCAGAGATCGTCTGTTAGAAGGTTTCCCTTTTACTTATGCATAGAAACAGCTTAACTGTCGTACAATTATTCCTGACCGTGAGGTCTTTCACCATGCACTCAGTGAGCATCTGCTATATGGCAGGTACTTTGCACAGATCTAACAGTATAGCCCCTACCCTTAGAAATTAGAAGTTGGAAATTCGTTGAATTGCTATTTTTTTTTTAAATCAGAGGATGGCAGAATTATTGGTGAAACTTCTTTTTCTGCAATTACTTTTTGTATTTATTTTTTTCTACAATTGTTAAAATTTGTACAATATCTAATAATTTTATAATTAGAATTCAAAAATGAAAATCAGATATATGAAATATGTAAAAAGAAAATCAGTAATAGCAATTTTGAGAGTGTCCTATGTAACAGGCAGTATGGTGAATTTTTTTGAAAGATCTATTTTGTTTATTTGAAAGTCAGAGTTATAAAGAGAGATCTTCCATCTACCGGTTCACTCCCTAAATGGCAGCAACAGCCAGGGCTGGGCCAGGTTGAAGCCAGGAGCCAGGAGCTTCTTCTGGGTCTCCCACATGGGTGCAGAGGCTCAAGGACTTGGGCCATCTCCACTGCTTTCCCAGGTACATTAGCAGGGAGCTGAATTGGAAGTGGAACAGCTCGGATTCCAACCAGTGCTCATATGGGATGCTGCCAACATAGCATGCAGAGTGACTTTACCTGATACATCACAATTCTGGCCCCATGATGAATATTTTATATAAACATATTTAATACTCCTGATGGTTTCGATGGTTTTATTGGAATAATACTTTTAAAAGTCTATGTATTTGAGAAGCCGAGAGAAAGAGAGATGGGGGAGAGAGAGAGAGAAAGGGAAAGAGAGAGGGAGAGAGGAGTGGGAGGGGAGAAGGAGAGAGAAGGGAGAGAGAGAGAGAGAAAGAGAGAGAGAGGCTAGGACTGGGTTAGGAAAATTAGTACTATTTTTTATCCCATTTTACAGAGAGTGATACTGAGGCTAAGAGGCTGAACCACAGATTACACAGCTATAAATTCTCTGGAGTCCTAATTGGAACATCAGGACTGTACTAATCAGATAAGCAAAAGCAAAGTGAGGGTTAAATATGTATTTTCTGGTCTTGAGAACTCACTTTCACTGTTGAATCTTGTGGCTATATGTAAACAAGTGGCTTCATGCACCTGTACATATTTCATGGTGTATGGTGTTATTTTTGGAGAAGTACCTATTTTCTTTTGATAGAGAGCAGTTCAAGACCAAGAACCATATCTGTCTCGACGTTTTATGTATTCCTTCTTCAGTTCCAGGTGGAGGTCACCTGCCTGCCTCCCACTTGGAAGCCCCGAGGACTGCCTGGCATGGCGAGTGTGCAGTCGCAGAGGGCTCCTGCTTTGCTATAGGAGACTGCAGATTCCGACCCTTTGCGTCACTCACTTTCCTAGCTTCTCTGTGGGACCTCAAATAAATATTATTGTTTTTCATAATAATATTTATTAAGCACCCACATGGTTTCCATCACCGAAAGAAAGATCTCAAAGGGAGAAATGTGTTGCATGCAAAGTGTTTAGGTAGCTGAGGAGGCCCAGACAGTGACTCCCAGGGCTGCCATGAGACTGGATGTTGTGCTGACCATAAAGCGCTTTGAACGTCCCTGAAGGAAACAACCCCATCAGTTCCACTGAGATTTGATTTCATTTGCAGAGATTGGGTAGCCCAGGTGTTAAACTGCACATTTCCCTCTTGTTGAGAATTTTGTCCAGGAAGAAATTCCACTTAGAGTCAAAAGAAATGCTGACCCTCTTCATGCGGTTATTTAAATATGAAAATCTAGATTTAATATTTAATAGGCAACATTAGGCTGCCCTTTGTTCACTAGTAATTTTTCCTTGAACGCCCTTTTCATGCAAGACAGTAGAGTGCTTCAGCTAATACAAAGATGACTCAGATGTGACCTCTGACCTCCAGGCAGTTATAATCCCTGATGACACAAGTAAGCTAACGAGGAAACGAAGCAGAGTGGTAAGTAGCATGGAAGGAAAGACCATAACACACAACTGCTGCACAGCGGCTCATTTGCCACGTTGTCAAGGTCTTGAGCGCTTATAATGTACCCAGGCACCAAGGCAAGAGCCTCACGTGAATTACATCATGTGTCTCTCCATGGATCCTGGGGACCAATGTATCACACCTTTCTCTGCCTTACATTTTACCAGTAGAAAAATAGAAAGAAAGCTGCAGTAACAAACAATGACCTTTATTACTGAGAAAGTCTATTTTAGTAGAAATAGCTTAGGATAGTCTTTCTGATTTTCTATCTAGATCTTAGAAAAATGCACCCAAAGGGAAGTTTAATCTGCAGAGCAAACATTCTTTTTAAAAATATTTATGTATTTGAAAATCAGAGAGAGAGAGAGAGAGAGAGAGAGAGAGAGAGATCCTCTATCCTCTATCCTCTGGTTGTTTCCCCAAATGGACACGACAGCCAGGTCTGGGCCAGGCCAAACCTAGGAGTCAGGAACTCCAACCTTTTCTCCTAGATGGGTATTGTCAGGGACCCAAGTACTTGGGCCATGCTCCTCTGCCTTCCCAGATGTATTAACAAGGAAATTGCATCGGAAGCAGAGCAGCTGGGATTGGAAGCAGCACTCCAACGTGGGGTGCAGGTGTTGCTTCATCTACAACAACACTGGTCCTTGCACAGCAAACATTCTTAACCAGGTTAAACATTGCCTCCCACTGAACAAGTGGAGACTGAAGGAGAAAGAACAAATTTCCTATGTTCAGGATCTTTCACAGGCTACTTTTGCTGATCAAGAATTGCGGGACAGTTTCCATGGCTACTGAGTGAGCTTCACTGACCACGCACCTCATTCCAGCTCTGTGGGGAATAGAGGGAGAGAGGCCAGTGCACTTAGGGAAGCCCCTTTTCAGGGGGCTGGGGTGTGGGCTTTCCCCTCCATGGTTTCATAGACTTGAATTCTTTATTGATTGGACTGGCCTATTGAGTGCATGATAAGGTTGCGTTGTGGCTTTTCCCCTGTGGGAAGACTAGTAGTAACCCAGCATCCCTCCCTATGGAGCCTGGCCACACCTTTCTTCTGAGGGACCTCTAGAGAGCAGTGTAGGTTTTTATCTCAGAAAGCTCAGAAATTACTTAAATGCACTTTCATGCCATATTGTCCAACAATGTCTGCTCTATTTCCATCGCAAATTATTTCCAGCCATGTATAAGTAGAGGCATCTGGAGATCCCACCACAGGATCAGCCTGGAACATTAAGATGCTCCAATACTATGATATGTAAATATACATTAATAATAAAAATGCCAACACAATAGAAGGATCCCCAATTTGAATATAAAAGCTTTCTGCTTATCAGTCCCCAATTTGAATATAAAAGCTTTCCTTGGGAGTAGTAATTAAAGTACCCAAGATAAAGTCATCTTGCTAGTTGCAGACCTGAAACATTCAAGCCCAAAATAATACCAAATTATCAAAAAAGTCAAATTACGTTGCCCTGATAGGCTCAACATAATTTAAGTGTAGAATTTCCCCCTTGTCCGGTTTCTTACACTGCTCTCCGCTGAGGGCTGCTTGCTTCCAAGGGCAGGCAGCTGGAATTCCTCCAGCAGATGATGCCTGGGCTGGGCTGCCTCTCCCTGAGCCAGCAGAGTTCCTTCAGGATCTCTGAAGCTGTGCTAGTTCAATGCCAAGCCTCTAAATTGCCTTCCTTTGAAAAGAATTCAAGGACAGACAAGTTTATCACAGCAGGGGTCTCATACCCACCATATTCAGGAAACAAAATAATTCCCAGCTTTTGTAGCCATTATTTCAGGCAGAATTATGTTTCTAGAGCCAAGGACTAATGGCAATCCGAGGGGAAGAAATGTTACTGGGGAAAAATAAAACATGGTTTCGTTCAGAATCCATGACCTGTCAACTCATGTGGGGGAAATCTCTCCTTTGAGAGCAATGACTGTGATAAAAGAAAAATTTTGGCATGCGTTAAATTTATTCACAAAGGGCAGAGGGGGATGGGGAGAAGAGATAAGGAAGCTAATCGGTTAAGAGCTACTGGCTGAAACCATCAGACTGTTGTACATTCCTGCATGTATGTTAAAGCTTTGACTTAAAATCCCTGGGGGAATCTCCCAGGTGCTGGTGCCTCCTACTCACACATAAGCTTTCCAGACTATTAGCCCCAACCAATCCAGAAGCAGCAAATGTTTCTCCTTATTGACAGTTCTCCTATCCCTGCGTGGTATTTTCCTGAGCCTCTTATCTTTACCCAGGGTAAGTTCAACGCGATCAGTTTACACTTCCCTTCCCCAGATTTTCATTATGAAAATGCTCTTGGCTGATAGCTCCAGTGGGCATTTTCCAACAACTATCTAGCTTTCCTGCTAGTAGCTGAGAAACTTGTCCCGACCCAGTCCCTTTGTGACTAGCATCTGTTATGGCTCCATAGTCACTGTAATATCAGAGATCCTTTGGTGTCAAGAAGTTTTGGTTTAATAATTGTATATGGAGTGAAGGGTCTTTCTCCTGTTGGAACTGTCTCTTCTCTTTGAAAGTCCCCTTTGAGATATAAGTAGCTCTGTGACACTTGAAATGCCACACTCATCATATGTTCCTTGAGGTGTGCTGTGTTGATTTTGTTTTAACCAACATATGTCCTTGAGGTGTGCTGTGTTGATTTTGTTTTAACCAACATTTCACATGTCTTGTTTTTCAGCTGCCCTTGAGACCTGGTTTCTGGCATCCTGGATTTGTTGTGGGAAGATGTTGTATTCTAGGTTCTTACCCTCATGGGAGATAAAAATTCAAAGCAGAGACATAAATCAAGTGCAAGAATGGGAGTATGATTTATTCATTTATTTAGAGTACACATTCAGAAATGAGTGCAGGCAACCACGTGAGGAGAGCTGCAAGCAGTCAGGAGAATCTTCCTATGAGAAGAGGGAGTGGGAGAGAGAGAGAGAGAGAGCGAGAGAGAGAGAGAGAGAAAACTCTGTCTCTGAAAGAACAGAGTGACCCCACAATTAGTAGAGCCCTCCACTGTGTAAGGGGTGGTGCCCTAATTGGATATCAAGTCATATGTGATCTTGTTTTCCTCAACTTTGGAATATTCCAGGTCTTTGGAAACCCCTCTTTCTTTTGCATCTTTCTCTGCTACTCTGTGGAATATGCCTACAACGTGCCCTTCCCACCTGCTCTTCCCCTAGTCCTCAGTAAAAGCTTAGTTGAGATACTGACAGTTGAACCTTTCTCTAATACAAACAGGGCTAGAGCTGTTGGCTGAGAGAGAACCCCTTTCTTCCTTTTACTTTTTATTTGATTTCATTTCTAAACTTTTGCTTTTCTAATATATTCCTTTATATTTGACAGATGGATCTTCCATAGTAAAATCTCTTGAATGAGTTAAATACCAGTATGCTAAAAGCTTCCATCATTTAAATAAATATTCAATATATTCAACAAGTATACATATATATTTAATATTTTATTTATTTATCTGAAGGGAGAGAGAAATTGAGACAGAAAGAGAGAAATTCCATTTGCTGGTTCACTTCCAAATGCCTACAATGGACAGGGCTAGGCCTCTGCCAAATTTGGGAGCAGGGAACATAAACTGGAATTCTAGCACATGATGTCAGGGACCCATCTGCTTGAGCCATCACTTGATGCCTTGCAGGGTCTCCTGATTCAAGAAGTTGGAGTCAGGAGCCATGGCTGAGAATCAAACCCAGGCTCTATAATGTGGGACATGGGCACCTCAGCCATGAAGACTAAACACTTGATGGCTTCAACAAGCATCTTTCAAATCTCTGCTAAGTACAGACAATTTTGTTTGCTCTGGGTAATTAATGGAGCAAAGGAAAAGTGCCTTTGTCTTCACCAAAAAAAAAAAAAAAAAAAAAAAGCTCAAAAGCACATATGCCATTGGAGGGAGGTGGATAGGCAGCACACACTGGTGAACATAAATCTGTCAGATCATGAAAAGAGCCATGAAGTGAAGCAAAAGCAGAAAGTTAAAATGACTGTGCCTGGAGGTTGGGTGGGTTGTTGTACTTTAAAATGGGCTGCTGTCATGGCATAGCTGGTTAACCATCGCCCACAAACCTGACATCCCATTTGGGTGCCATTCCAGTTCCAGCTGCTCCACTATGAATCCATCTTCCTGCTAATGGCCTGGGAAAAGCAGTGGAAGATAGCTCAAGTTTTTGGGCCCCTGCCACCCATGTGAGAGACCTGGATGAAGCTCTTGGCCCTGGCTTCAGCCTGGCCCAGCCCCAGCCATTCAGCCACCTGGGGAGTGAACCAGTAGATGGAAGATATCTTGATCTCTATCTCTCTCTCACCTCTCTCCCCTTACCCCTCTCTCTTCCTCTCCTTCTCTCTGTTAACTCTGACTTTTAAATAAATGAATCTTAAGAAAATAAAATAAGATGGTCTGGGAAGGCCTGGCTGAAAAGGAAACATTTGTGCAGTGGCCTCAGGAGGTAGAGGAAGAGTGATGCAAATATCTGGGGAAGAGTGTATGCAGTAAGGCGCACAACAAGAGTAAAACCCTGCAAAAAAGGGTATGTAAGAACACAGAGACTGCAGTAGGACTGTAGTGTGCAAGAGAGGGGAAAAACAGGAAGAGACTTAGGATGATCTGAGGACTTGAGTTTCATTCTAAGTGAAAAGAAAGCTATGAGCAAAACAGTGACTAGAGAATCTCTCATGTGAGACAAAGGTTGAGCCCAGACCTGGTCTTAACCTGTACATTATTCTGTCTGGTTCCCCTTTACTATGGCTCATCTCTGATATGTTTTTCCTAGGTGCCTGATTCCCTGACTTTATAGAGCAGTTTCACTACTCAAATCTATCCAGATTTTCTGTAAAAATAGATAAAGCTCTCCTGTCCTTCATAGGGCAGTTATTGAATTGCTTTTACTATGGACTTCATTACCTGTGACTTGGAGTTAAAATAGATTCCTGGGTTCTGTTCATTTCTTGAGGAATCATTGCAGATTCTGACTGATAGAATGCATCTCTTCATCCAAAATATTTGTCTGGGTCCTGGTAACTTTTTTTCACCAACTTATAAGTCATCTCTTTTTGTTTCTAGGGCACTATCTCAGAGACGTTTGGCTTAGTATTACTTTCCCTTTGGTTTTCAGGATCTCATTTTTTTTTTTTTGCATCTATCTAATCTATGTCCTAATACCTTAAACTATATCCTATGAAAACATCTCTCTCCAGCCAAGTCAGTTTGTCTTCCCTTGCTGCTTTCTCAGAGCCCACTGAGACTACAACCTGGATTATGGAGTCTCTCAGTCACCTTCTGAAATTTATATGATTTCTGACACCAGCTCTAAGATGTTAGGTAATTATTAAGAATAGCTGATCTCATAAAATCTGAACTTTTACTCAAGAACAAGATTGGTCATTGTCACCCTATTAGAACAATGAAAATAACAGAACTCAGGTTTAGCACAAACCTATGTAGGCATTTCTTTATTGGGTGAAATCTTTGAAGGGTGGTTGGAGAAAAAATAAAGTTTCCCTAGAAATAATCTCCTTTAAGAACAAGGAAGCAATATTTTACCGGCCTGAACTGCCAAAACTCATTTTTATAGAATCAAATCCATGAAGAAATGGCTATGGTGCATGTAATCTTGCGAGTGTTAGAATTTGCACTTGGTCCCTCTAGTTACCTGAGCTGTGTGAAAAATTTTTAAAAAAGCCCGTTGTCAGCCCATTTATCCTTGGCTACTCAAAAGTATTATTACTCTACTTTAAAAAGAGATTCCAGTTATGGCCATCCTAAATGGTAGAGTTTGAGGACATACTAAGCTATTTAACCTCAAGCTTTTTTCCTATCCTGCCACTCTGCTTTGATTCTGTTGTGCAATAAATGAACCTACTTTGAAGAGTCTACCATTAGACTCTATTTCTGAAGTGTATAGGTACACCTTGGGTTCCTTTTGGCTTGTTAGCAGGCAATTCTGCCAATATTCTTACCTGGAGAGAATTTTCAGTTGCCTCAATTTCACTTGGGGCAGAGCATCCAGAGTTAGTTCCCAGAGGACCATGAATCATGTATCATCAGCAATATGTAGGGTGAGATTGATTGATTGATTAAAAGTATATTTGAATTGGCTGAATGCACAAACTCATTCACAACAGGATATTCATTCAAAAATGTTTACTGAACAGCTACTCTATTTCAGGAACTATTTTAGTCAGTTTACTGTGATAAACCAAAGCCTAAAAATATGTCACAACTCTTGACAGGCAAACAAATCAATGCTCCCCAGTGATTAGGGTCACTTCCCACTTTGGATGTCTGTTATTTAATTGCCTAGGGTGGGCTCTGGTGATCTAACTGAACATCTGAATCTTTCACTTAATCTTCCATTATATTTGTAGTCATAGCATCAACCAAGCAACTGGAAAAACAGGTGTTAGTAAGAACATCCATGCAATACAAACTATTATGTATATGGGCGAGGTTCTTGATAAATGGCCATTTCAGCAATGGGAATAGAACCACAAAAACACATCCTTTTGGAGTTAGAATGGATTTTAGATATCCTAAAACCCAACCGCTGATGTGATCCAAGAACTACAAAATGATCTACTAATTCATTCACAATGTAATAATTTACTCGAACTGTTAATTTACTACTGGACAAAAAGAAATGTGATAGCCACTGAAGATACAACAATGAAACGGATAGAGTTAGCTGCTAGCCTCATTGAAGGCATATGTTAAAGAGTAAGCATTAGGCAGCTTGTTACATGGTATCATTTAATTGCATTGAAGTACAGATTGTTGTTTTAGTCTAGGGGTTAAGAAGCCTGTGTCCCTCATCCAGGTGCCTAGATTTTACTCCTGGCTCTGGCTCCTGACTCCAGGTTCCTGCCAATGCAGACTCTGGGAGGCAGAGTTGAATATTCAAGTAATAAGGTTCCTGCCACTCATGTGGGAGACCTGGATTGAATTCTTGGTTCTGAGCTTCAGCCTGGCCCAGTCCTGGCTATTTTGGGAGCAGATGGGACCTCTTTCCTTTGTCTATTTCTTAAATAAATAAATAAACAGATAAAAAGGAATTCAAGGGGTCCCCAATATAGAGAATGACTCAGGATGAAGTCAGTGGAGTAGGTCAGAATCCCATTATGCAAGATTTTCTGCATCCGGTTAAATACATTGATTGTCATTCTAATTGCGATGTTAACTTATTTAAGGAGTGTAACAGGTAAATGATATGGCTTCTTTTCTCAGTTACTTTTACTTCTATACATACTTTTTTCTATGTACACTGTTCTCAGGAAAGCTTTGGTGAACAGAGCAAAGACTTCAGACCCTGGCTTTTGAGCTCCTATGTGGACTTTTACGTTATTATTAATTGTTATTACTATTGGGCTTAAAACGCATAACATAAAATGTAGTATTTAAACCATTTCTTTAGTTGAAAGACAAAGAGAGGGACAGATAGTTACATACACACACAACACACACACACACACACACACACAGATCTTTTGTCAGCTAGATCACACCCCAAAAGCCTGCAACAGTCAAGGTTGTAACCCTGGAACTAAATCCAGGTCTCACACATGAGTGGTAGGAACCCAAGTACATCATCTATCTGCCTTCCAATGTGCATATTTAGCAGGAAGCTGGAGTTGGAAGTAGAACTGGGACTTATACCCAGGCTCTCTAATACAGAATTCAAGTGTTTCAAATGGCATCTTAATTGCTATGTCAAACTCTCTCCCTTATCTTAAACCACTGTTAACTACATTAATTTTTGTAAATGTAGTTAGGGAAGCCATGGTTTTCAACTCAAGGCCAGCAACTTAAGGAAATAAAAGATTTTGACTGGAAATAAAAAGTGAAAATCTGAAAAAAGGAAGCACAAAATGTATCTATTAATCATCCATTGATAAGAATCTACTCAATGTGTGAGAATGAGTTCGAATCAAAAGGGAATAACAACATCTTTGATTAGCAAGAATGAGGAAATCAGGAAAGGAAGCAGGTAAGGTTTAAAAGCAGTGGGAAAGAGAGAGAAAGAGGAAGGAGAGAGAGAAACAAGGAAAGAAGGAAGGACCGAAGGAAGAAAGGAACAGAGGAAGGAAAATATCATTACACTCTTAGAATTTTATCTATAAACTATATGGAATCTGCTGTCTTTGTTTTAATACTACAATAACATAAGGATTGATGAGAATTGTGTTGTAGTAATTATATGTTTGCTATGACCCCAAGAATCTAATTTTTTTATTGGAAAGGCAGAGTTACACAGAGGCAGAGAGAGAGAGAGAGAGAGAAAGTCATCCATCTGCTGGTTCACTCCCCAGATGGCACAATGGCTGGAGCTGGGCTGATCCAAAGCCAGAAGCCAGGAGCTTCTTCCTCATTCTCCCACAGAGGTATGGGGCCCTAAGGACTTGGGTCATTTTCTACTGCTTTCCCAGACCATAGCAGAGAGCTGTATCAGAAGTAGAGCAGCTGGAACTTGAACTGGCACCCATATGGGATGCCGGCACTGCAGGTGGTGGCTTTACCCACCATGCCACAGCGCCAGCCCCAAGAATCAAATGTATTAATGCATTCCTTAAAAATAAAATAAATAAATAAAATAATAATAACTAAATATTAATAAATATTCATGTGTATCTGTGTGGGTGCTAACTGTTGAAATCTTTACTTAGTATATACCAAGTTGATCTTATGTATATAAAGATAATTGAAAATGAATTTTGATGAAGAATGGGATGGGAGAGGAGTGGGAGATGGGATGGTTGTGGATGGTTGTGGTTGAGGGAGATTATGGGGGGAAAAGCCACTATAATCCAAAAGTTGTACTTTTGAAATTTATATTTATTAAATAAAAGTTTAAAAAAAGAAAAAAAATTAAAAGATTAACTTTTTAAAAATATAAAGTAGTGAGTTTCTGGAAAGTGTTCAGCACCTGGACCCCTCCTTTATAGAGGACTCCTGAAAATAAAAGGCCATGAGTGTCCTTGGATAAGTTTTCTAGGGAATCCCAGAGCAGATACTTGTCTTGTCTTGGAGAGCACAGGACAGCATATACAGAAAGCTCTCTACTTAATTAGCAGATGATGTTGCAGACATCTCTTGCTATGTAAAAATCACCTTAAAGCACAGTAGTTCGGAACAAGTCTGTTCATTTTATCATCAGTCATGGTTTCTGTGCTCAGTAATTCAGGAAATGCTCAGCTCAGTCCTACTTCTGTACAGCATCTTGACAGTGCTGTGGGGGCATTTGCTGTACCCCAAGAATGGTCACGAGGAGAAAGAGAAAGATGTGTAGTTTTGAGTTGAGACATTTTTCTTTGAAAAAATCTTTCTGGAAATCCCACAAATTGAAGAATAAAAACAATATATGCTGTGGTATATTGGGTTAAAACTTGGCCTGTGGTACTGGCATCCCATATGGGCACCAGTTTGAATCCTGGCTACTCCACTTCTTCTTTTTTTTTTTTTTTAATTTTTTGACAGGCAGAGTGGACAGTGAGAGAGAGAGAGAGAGAGAGAAAGGTCTTCCTTTTCCGTTGGTTCACCCCCTCAATGGCCACTCCAGCGGTATGCTGCGGCCAGCGCACCGTGCTGATCTGAAGCCAGGAGCCAGGTGCTTCTCCTGGTCTCCCATGGGGTGCAGGGCCCAAGCACTTGGGCCATCCTCCACTGCACTCCCGGGCCACAGCAGAGAGCTGGACTTGAAGAGGAGCAACTGGGATAGAATCCGGCGCCCCATCCGGGACTAGAACCTGGTGTGCCAATGCCGCAGGCAGAGGATTAGCCTAGTGAGCTGCGGCACTGGCCCTGGCTGCTCCACTTCTGATCCAGCTTCCTGCTAATGAGCCTGGGAAAGCAGTGTAAGATAGCTCAAGTACTTGGGCCTCTGTGCCCAAGTGGAGGATCCAGAAGAGTCTTCTGGCTCCTGGCTTTGGATTGGCTCATCTCCAGCTGTTGTGGCCATTTGGGTAGTAAACCAACAGATGGAGGACCTCTCTCTCTCTCTCCCTCTCTCTCTCTCTCCCTCTCTCTCTCGTTCTCTCTTTCTTCCTCTCTCTGTAACTCTGTCTTTCAAATAAGTAAAACAAATCTTAAAAAAAAAAAACCCACATGATTATCTCAATAGTTGCAAAGAAAGGAGTTGATAAAATACAACATCCTTTCATGATGAAAATCTTAAGCAAATTGGGTATAGAAGGAACATTCCTCAATACAATCAAGGAAATCTATGACAAAACCAAAACCAGCATTTTATTGAATGGAGAAAAGTTGGAAGCTTTCCCACAAAGATCTGGAATCAAAGAAGGATGCCCACTCTCACCACTTCTATTCAATATAGTCATGGAAATTTTAGACAGAGCCATTAGGCAAGAAAATGAAATCAAAGGATACAAATTGGAAAGGAGAAAATCAAATTAACCCTGTTTGCAGATGATGTCATCCTATATGAGATCCTATATATCATGGAGGAGATAATTTAGGATGAGCTAATAAGGTGAATACATTTGAAAGTTGTAAAGAAGAAACTAAGCCAGCAAAGGAGACTGAAAAATGCTTAGGAAATTAGGTGGCAAAACAGGAAAGTAAAATGGCATGGAAGCCAAAGAAATTAGTGTTTCAAGAAGGGATTCTAAAATATTTATACCGCATCTTATGATACAGAGTTGACTGTGACCTTGGCAAAAACTTTCTCAGGGGCTTGGTGGAGGCAGAGGCTAGATTGGGATGAAATGAACCAAAAAACTCCACTAAGTCCATTGGGACTCTTAGTTTGGTAAAGTTGCAGCATATAAAATTGACACACAAATATCAATAGCCTTTGAACACACAGACAATGTCATGGCTGCAAAAGAGCTTCTAAGATCAATACCATTCACAATAGCTACAAAAAAAATGAAATACCTTGGAATAAATTTAACCAAGGAGGTGAAAGATCTCTATGATGAATATCACAAAACATTAAAGAAAGAAATAGAAGACACAAAAAAGGGAAAATCTTCCATGTTCATGGATTGGAAGAATTAGTATCCTCACAACGTCCATACTATGGAAAGCAACTTACAGATTCAGTGAGATCCCAACTGATACACCAATGACATTCTTCTCAGATCTAGAACAAATAATGCTGAAATTCATCTGGAAACACAAGGGACCTCAAATAGCTAAAGAAATCTTAAAGAACAAAAATAAAGCCTGAGGCATCAAAATATCAGATTTCAAGACATACTACAGGGCAGTTATAATCACAACAGTCTGGTACTGGCACAAAAGTATACATGTAGACCAATGAAATAGAATAGAAACTTAAGAAATTGATCCACGCATCTACAATGAACTAATCTTTGACAAAGGAGCTAAACTCAATATCTGGAGCAAGAACAGTCTCTTCAACAAATGGTGCTGGGAAAATTGGATCTCCCCATGCAGAAGTGTGAAAAAAGACCCTTACATAACACCTTATACAAAAATCAACTCAAAATGGATCAAGGATCTAAATCTATGACTTGATATCATCAAATTACTAGAGGAGAACATTGGGGGGAAATTATACAAGACATTGGCATAGACAAAGTTTCTTGGGAAAGACCCTAGAGGCACCGGCAATCAAAGCCAAAATAGAAAGCTTCTAAAGTCAATAGGCAATGGACAGAATAGGAGAATATGTTTGTAAACTATGAAACTGATAAAAGATTGATATCCAGAATCTATAAAGAGCTCAAGAAACTCAACACCAAGAAAACAAAAAGGCATTTTTTTTTTTTGACAGGCAGAGTGGACAGAGAGAGAGACAGAGAGAAAGGTCTTCCTGTTGGCATTTTTTAAAAAGAGGAAATTCAGATAGTCAATAGACACTTGAAAAAATGCTTAGCATCACTAGCCATCAGGGAAATGAAAATCAAAACCACAATAAGGTTTCACTTCACCCCAGTTAGAATGGCTGTCATACAGAAATCAACCAACTATAAATGCTGGCAAGGATATGGAAAATAGGTACCCTAATCCATTATTAGTGGGAATGTAAACTACTACAGCCATTGTGGAAAAGAGTATGGAGATACCTCAGAAAGTTGAAAATAGATATACCATATGATCCAGCAATCCCACTGTTGGAAATTTACCCAAGGGAAATGAAATGAACATATGAATGAGTTATTTGTACCCCATGTTTACAGCAGCTCAATTCACAATATCTAGGATGTGGAATCAACCCAGATGTCCATCACCTGATGACTGGATAAAGAAATTGTACATTTACACTATGGAATATTACTCAGCCATAAAAAAGAATGAAATCCTGTCTTTTACAATTAAATGGATGCAACTGGAAACCTTTATACTTAGTGAAATAAGCCAGTCTCAAAAAGACAAATACCATGTTTTTCCTGATCTGTGGTAACTAAGATAGTACCAAAAATGTAGTGTATAGAAGTGAAATTGGCATTTTGAGATTTGGTGATTGTTTACATCCCTGGTCTCTTCTGTTGGGGAACAGTGTTTCTTCTTACTATTTGTTGAACTCTTTATTTAGTGTATGAATAATCTTATAAGTATAAAGTAAACTGAAAGTAGATCATTATAAAAATTAAGAGAAGGAATAAGAGAGGAAGGTGGAGGAAGGGTGAGAGTATGGACAGGAGGAAGGGAAGGGTAGGAAGTATCAGTATGTTCCTTATATGTGTATATGAAATACATGTAATTTGTTTACCTTAAATATTAATTTTAAAAATCCCACGCCTTCTTTCAGCTTGTATCCCACTGACCCAATAGTTTACCCACAGAGCCACACCTAATTCCAGGAGACTGAGAATTGGGATCTCTGTAGAATTTCAAATAAAATCAGCATTCTCTTAGTAAGGATGGAGGAAAAAACAAATTATATAAAGCATTTAACAATCTCTGCCACATTACATAAAGCAGTTTGAGTTATAAACTGTAAGAGACTGAGAGACCTAGCAAAACTGGTTAACTGCCGGATCCCAGGTCAGAGGTGACGATAACCCAGGTTAGAATGGCAGCAGTGCTGATGTAGAAATGGGCAGATTCAAATGATGCAAAGAAAGTAGAGTCAATCAGGCTTGATGGTAGCTTGGTAGAGAGAATATATTAAATATTTCTTCCTGAATTCAGTCTAGAATGATTGAGTGGTGGGGGTGGGCACACACACCATTTGCTGAAATAAAAACCACTAGGAGAGGGTCTTGTTTGGAGTAAAATAATAAATTCCATTTGAAGTTTGAAGCGCTTAAAGACACCTTGGAGAAACGAGAAGTAGACAGTTGCATATTAGGGTCTGAAGCTGAGAAATATTTGAGTAGGAAGTATTTATTTGGGTTTCAGCATACAGAAGGTGATCAAGGACAGTCATGGATGAGATAATTTAGGATGAGCTAATCAGGTGAATACATTTAAAACTTGTGAAGAAGAGACTATCCAGCAAAGGAGACTGAAGAATGCTTAGGAAATAGGTGGTAAACCAGGAAAGTGAAATGGCATGGAAGCCAAGAAAGAAGTGTTTCAGGAAGCAAGACTAAATTATTTACACCATGTCTTATGATATAGAGTTGTCTGGGACATTGACAAAAAACTTTCTCAGGGACTTGGTGGAGGCAGAGGCTAGGTCAGGATGAAGTGAAGAATCAGGGAGAAGTTAGGAATCGGACAGTGAGGGAAGTCTGCAGTGTGTCTATGTATCTATAAAGGAAAGTAGAACAACATGACAGTGCCCTCATCCTGTGACCTTCTGACAGTGCCCTTGCCTTAGTGCAGAGACCTGAAAGAGTCAAGCAT